CTTTATGATATATATCTGGAATTTTAGAGATTTCTAAAGTTTTCTAACAAAGATACTTTCTTTTTTTGCTATTTACTCCAAGTCCAAGCCTCAATTCTTTTCTGTTTTCTTACATATAAATCAAAGTAATATCAGCATCGCTTTATCATATCATGAGGATCTAAGAAAGAATCAGAGGAAATCGCTCAGTGTGAAAAACTTAACAATTTATGAAGCAATATTCTCTCAGTCAATTCCTATCAAATCGAACTACTTCATTCGTATAAAAGCGTTTGTTAGTCTACAAGTCTATTTAATCTGCCAAATAAAACCTTTCTTTTCTCTCGTTCTCGTTTTGTGTCTGATGCTCAGGTTTACTTTTACTCGGACGCAAGAAATCACATTAAAAGGGTGACTTTCTCTTGGCTGCGCCGAGCAACAAACGCAATTTACTCGTCCTAATATGCGACACTTCCTTAATTCGCTGTGGCAGCCACTGCATCCATCCAGCAGTTCCTTATCCCCGTTCCCATGCCCGGTGCGCTAGCATTCTTTCTGTTCCCCATTCTGTTGCGTCTGTGTGCATTTCCTTTATGTCGTTTTCATTTAGGGCTCTCGAGCAAAAAACGAGCCGAAGAAGAAAACGAAAATGTGAACGGACAAAAAGGAAAATAAATGTGCGATAGTCGGATCTTTTCGCAGTTCGCTTGGCTGTGGACATTAACTAGCTTTTATCTTTCTATATTTCTTTTTCTCTCCCACGCTCGCCATTTTCTACCTGTGTTTTTATTAGGTGGGTTTTCAGTTTGCCCTGCTTGGCAAATCCTTTTGAAAAAGGCTTTATGTCTGATTTGGCTGCCCGGTAATCCGCTTTTGACTAGCTCAAGTCCCCTTCTCGATACATATAAAAATAAAATGCATGCCCATTAGACAAGCACCGCCCATTCGCCCACCCACCCACACGTGCACCCACCTGATGACGCACATCGACCTTGAAATGGTCTCTTTTATGACAAGCGGAATGTTTAAGTAGACATCTCTATGAAATGTGCCAGTCAAACTTTCATAGTCTGTGCTCGCTTCAAACTGTATTAGCAGCTGTGGCGCGCTTTCGTTAACATACGCGTGCGTTAACATTAACAGCAGCGGCTTAGCAGTTTTTATGTAAGGCAAGCACTTAGTTAACATTAGCATTGGAAATTCCAAAATGTAAGACTCATTAACATAATAGGCTTAGCATATATTAGCTCGTGCAGCGGAAGCCTAACACATCAGACTAACAGAGTTTGTTCTGACTGACTGATTGACAGACTGACTGACTGACTGACTGATTGATTGCGTAAGGACACTAAGTGTGACTTATATAAGATGAGTAACATCAAGAAGAACTAAGCCGTATAAATGTGCTTTGCCAACGCGGGTTGTCTGAGCGTCGGACTAGCAAGTGGAATGTTGGTGGCTCAAACCAAGAGGAATTTATAATATTTATATATTCTTTTATTTACTTAATTTATTCATACGTGCAAGAAAACAATAATAATCAGTTAAAACGAGATGCTAAGGATATCTGGTGCATGCCGTAAATGCTAAGTTTGATGGAAATGTCTTGGAATACGAAATATGTTGCCATAGGAAAACTCTTTTAGCGTCTGATTCTTTCTATATAGCTATATAATATTTGATTTGACTCATGTGTGAGAAATTGTTCATACAAGAACCTACTTTTCGGCAGCTATAATGGAACAGCTCGAATAGAAACAAACAAACTGACGGAGATCTGAACTGCTGCTGCTCAACTAGATGATATATACCTTATGCGCTGGGATACCCCAGAATACCCTTCACCCTCTCGCAAGGATGGTTCCTCTTAAGCTCACTCCTCACTAGCTCGAATCAAGCTCAAAATCACAAGTCTTAATGCCAGCTTGATGGAATAATTGCTGGTATAACTTTCTTGCACTGAAAACGTGAGACATTTGTTTTATTTGCTTCTCGAATTCGGCTACGCTTTGAGCTCAACTGATTTAGTACACAGACTCTGGTTATTTGCAGTCATTAAGTGCGACAATAGCAACTGGCAGTGCGATTCAATGCAATCGCACGCCCAGACAACAGTCAGCCATCTGCTCCGACAGCCAGGCATGTTGTACGCGCAATCATTTGACAGAAAACAACTGCAACAACAACTGCAACAACAACTGCAACAGCAACTGCAACTGCAACTGGAGCTGTGTCTGTGGTTGTGACATAAATGCCAGCTGTTTGGCTGTGTGGTTCGCCTGAATTGCGTTGGGTTTGGCTTTGGGTGGCTTTCAGCCATCAGCTTGTTAATTATCTGCGTGTTGCTGTCGCTGTTGCTGCTGTTATTGTTATTGTTGTTGCTGCTGCTGCTGCGACATGCCACGCTTTACATTGTGCAGCTGATCAAACCTGACGCATATAATTGGTTTATCCAGCAACATTTGCCCATGCTCTCCCACCTATGGGAATTCATGTGCATGTGGCACCTCTTATTGCAATTCCCATCAATATTTCCCCCTTTATTTTTTTTATCCCTACTGCGACGTACATTCTGCGATGCTCCTGATATCTGCGCAGAAATACACATATGAGTTGTCAACTATCGATTGGAATTCGTTTTCCATCGAAATTCCTATTTTTTTGTTCACTCTTATTGGATATTACTTCCTGTTGAAATGCCGCTCGCTTATTCTAAATGAAATGCACCTTCCCATCGAAATTCCTTTCTTCTATTCTCATTCATTTTGACAATTTAATTCTTATGCGCATCTCTATTCATATTCGTGCACCTTTCAAATCCGATCTTCTATTCCTATTCTATTACTATTTGATTACTTATTTCACCTTCCTTCTTTTATACGTTTAAAATGCTGATTCGTATTTTGTTTGCTGTCCCAATAAAGTGCTCCATTCGTAGAAATGGAATAAAAATAAGTGGATTATGCGCCACGCTAATTTAAGTGCTTCCAACTTTCGTTTTCAATTGCCTTCGGCTTTAACTTTTTATCCAATTTGAAACTCGATTCTAGTTCTTGAACGTATTGAGACTGCCATTCCTGTTTGAAGTTCTTTTGTCTTATTCCATTCATGACTTTATTGACAATCCGTTTCAATTTCCTTCTCCTATTTCAATTTGAATATGTTGCCTATGAACATTCATGTATTCATTTCGGAGTATATCAATGCATTATTCACTTCTTATACTGCTCTTCCAATTAAATTTGCCTTTTTCTAGTCACAGCTATATTCGATGACATTCCTTTGGTTGGCTTAATTCCCACATCTTTGCTCAAAGCTCTATTCACATATTTTTGCCGATTTTTGTTTGCCTCACCTTCTGCGATTCCTGTTCCTATCTGCATTTCCAGTCATGCTCACATTTTAATTTCTATTCATTTACCTAGTTTTGCTCCGATTCCCCCTGTTTCAATTCCTATTCATTTTACCTATTCAATTCACAATCCTATTACTATTCCCATTTCTATTCTCAGTCTCATTCCCAGTCCCCATTTCCCATTCCTCCTTCCATTCTCAGCTGGTCAACAGGTTGCTGCCGCCGTTTTAATTGGCCCAGCGGCGACGACAACCCGCAATCGACGTGTGCTTCTTCTTTTATCTGCGTGTGTGTGTGTGTGGGTTGGTGGTTGGGTGGCTGGGTAGTTGTGTGGGTTGGCTGTGTGCTGGTCTATTTATAAAGCTAAGCGGTTGCGTATGTGCTTGGCCCCTGCGCCCCGCTGCGCCTTTTTTTTTTTTTTTGCACACACGCTCGCTGTGCGCGGTGTCTGATTGCGGCTGAAGCTGCAAGCGTTGACAACTTAACGGAAAATGATTTCACATTCCGTGTCATTCCACCAGACCAGCCCATACAATTCTATTAGCCGTCAGTTGACAACCGCAGAACTTTTGCACACAGCCGACCACAAATGAAAGGCCCGTCCCTAAATGCTGGATGTAGTGTTAAAAACTTTGCGTGGGTTTGTTGTCAACCCTCTTCTGGCACCTCATTGCCTTTGACCCAACATTAAACTGACCTCAGGACTCGGCATGTTTGCGAGTTTTTCACCTGCCATTTTGTGATCTGCAATGCAGGCAATTTGGAAAAATTTGTTTGGAAATCGGTTCCACAATTTTTCCAATGATTATCGATGACTCTGATTGATTTGTAAAAAAGTGTATCGAAAGCAATTCTGGCATACTTTAGATATTGGCTTTACCTAACTGTGCAAAATATCGATAGGGGCTTCGATCTAGTTACTTTATCAATACGATCGATATAATAAAACAAGGTTTTGCATGTACGAATCGATTTGAAAATCGATAGTCGCCACGTCTATATAACGAATAGGTTGATAACATCTTTGATTGAGGTCTTATACTATAATATCGACAGTTTCTCCATGTATATTCAGGTTTTACACTATAATATCAATAGCTCCTACCTAGATATACCAAATAAATCTTTGAAAATGATATTGATTAAGGTCTTAAACTGTAATATCGATAGTTTTCACATTGATATACCACATATATATATGAAAAGTATATTGATTAGGCTCTTACACTATTATTTCAATTTCTGCATTGATGTACCACAGACGATAATTTAGAAATCTCCTGCTATGATATTCAACATATAAAATTTAACATATTATCGACACATTAATAATTTCGATAGTTCGTTTTCGATCGATTATTGTGGATAGTCGCCACATTGAAAATGTATTCAACTGTTTATCGAAACTCTACACATTAAGATGTTCGACTGAATCTTCGATGAATGTCTTTCGAACGTTCGATAGTGCTTGTAAAAGTTTGGATCTTAGCGTTATTTCTAATGGAGCACAGTTGCCCGGATCAACACCATCAAACACTTTAGTTATTCACTATACAAGATGATTGCGAGTCTCGTTAGTTCACTTATCGATAACTTTATGAGTAGCTTTTTTTTTAATTAAATATTTGATTGTTTGTTAATAAATGATTGTATTTTGTGTACTTACGCTGCGAATTGGAGCGCCGTATTATATTCTCAAGGAATGTGTTCTGTGGAGCAACAAGTCCACGTCGTCCGCCAGGCATTTTGGTGCGTAGTCGGTGCGCTGCGTCGCCGCTCTGCGATGACTGAAAACTGGCACCTGAACCGCTTACCGGCTAACTTACGGCGGCCGCTGCGCAACTTAGCAGTGGATGGATGGATGGATTTCGCTGCCTGGTTACCGTCTGTAGCTTTCTATATCTTGCACTCTCCCACTCGCTCAGTCGGTCCTTTTCGGTTGCGCGCTCTCTCTCTCTCGCTCTCGCTCTCGCACTCGCTTTCTCTTGCTCTCAATGTGCTGTGTGCCGCTTGCTCGCTCGATCTTTGCGCATTCGTTTAGAGCAGCATCGCGGCAACGGCGACGGCGACGACGTTGCTGAGCAGCGCTGCATTTTGGCTGCGCCGGCCGCCCGCCATTTTGTTAAGCACTCGCTCACACGCACGCTCGCAAATACGCACACGCACACGCACACCCACACAGACGCACTCGCACACGCACACACGCGCGCAATGCAACGCTGCTGCTGCTGCTGCTGCTGCTTATGCTGCTGCTGCTGCTGATGCTGCTTCAGTTCCTGTTCCTGTTCCTGTTATTGTTGTTGCTGTTGACCACTTCACACAGTCTTATCAGTTGCATATGGCACTGCAAAGATAGGCAAGAAGAGGACAAAACAAGGCTAATTTGTAGCATACTTTCAAGAGCAAGTTCATGGATTGCACAGATAACGAGTATGAGCGAGACAAATGGATATAATGAGCAAATAAAAAGAGTTTCGCTTTGTTGCTTTGTCAACCCCTAAACATATGCCCCTTGTCAAGCGCAGCCCACGCAAATGCGTACTTAATCCTTAACCCCCCATCTCCCCATCCTCCCTCCCCCCCTCGCTTCTCCACCGCAACTCTGCAATACGTGAAGTATCACATGTGAAAATAAAAGCAAACATTTTCGCAAAATATCAGATTTCCCCCCAGCTGACATTTTCACTGCAGTTACCTAATGGGCTGGAGATGCGCGCGATTTTGTGCAAATCCACCCGCAAATGTGGAAAAATCATGAAATCATGTACAACTTTTTTGTTTACCATTCAATCGACCCAAAAATCATTTTCAAAAAACCTTGTTCAAATTCATCTGATACGTGTTTCACACTTTTCGGAAAATCCATTCCCAGTTGGTGGAAATGGCGCTCATTTCCAGAGACCTATATGAAAAATTACATGAGACACATTTTCACCGAATCCAATTTTCCTTGCTAGAAATGCGATTCAAAGATATTTTTTACCGAATTTTTAAGTTTTCTATACATATTTTCAAAGCTCTACATAAGCACTTAATGAATACGTGTTTCAGCGATTTGGAAAATAACATCCATGCCGTCCGATCGGTTTCAAATCCATTTCGCAACATTTTCGAGAGAATTTATTTAATACGTATAACGGGCAAGGACGACGGGGTATATACATATATGTAGAAACTTGAGGCTTGGACTTGCAAACTTTCTTTAAATAAAAATTCTTGACTCTTGAACTTCAACTTGAGCAAGCTGACATTTTATATAAGTGTTATAAAGGTAACCAAATAGCCAACAATATATTATGGGGACAAATGCAATTCGTTACGCAATTGAATTTACCCTCTGCAAGAATTGTCGACATAAGAATTCATGCTATATCCAATTACGATTTGGCACGTTCAGATAAGGAAAATATTAATAATTATTTTTTAATATTCCTTTTCAGTAGATCATATTTTATGTTTCGTAATGATTAGAAGTAAGGTGCTCGAACAAGGCTTATATAAGTAATTACGCATTAGAAAGATTGAACTTGAACTTGAGCTGACATTTTATATAAATGTAAAAGTATCCAAATAGCCAATAAAATAAAATGCGGACAAATGCAGTTCGTGACGCAATTGAATTCACCCTCTGCAAGAATTGATGCTATATCGAATAACGCTTTTCGCGTTGAGATAAGGAATATATTTTTTTAATATTCCTTTCCGGTAGCTCATATTTTCTATTTCGTAATGATTCGAAGTAGGCTGCTCGAACAAGGCTTATATAAGTGAGCACTGAGTTGAGTAAAATCAGATATCACTATATATAAAACTGTTTGTCCTGTCTGACTGACTGTTTGACTGACTGATTGACTGTCGTTACCTTATGTGTGAAATGAGGTTTCGGGATATTCCACCCGATGGTGTGGAATAATCGCGGAAATCGTTTGTATGAAACTTATTTGTTAACCATCCGATCGGCTTCAAAAATCTTTGTGAAAATTCAACAGCTACAACTGCATCCTTTTGGAATATAAACACGGGTCAAAAGTTGATTGGGTGAAGCACTGAGCTTCGTTCGATCGGACTCATGAAGACCTAATGAATACGTGTTTTATGGATTTAAGAAATTTCGCTCGCAGCTATGGAATATCAGTGTATATATAGTATAAAGTATATAGTATATATATATTATATAGTTATGCTTGTATGTAACTACGTATGTATGTTTGTGTGCGTGTTTGTATTTATGAGTGTATGGGGGCATTTATGTATGTGTGTATAAATGTATGCATTTGTGTATGCATTATGCAGTATTTATGATTGTACTTGCGTATATATGTACATGTATATGTATATGTATATACATGTGTATATGTGTATGTAAGTCAGTTTGTAGTATGTATATAAGAGGTTAAGTTTGTATGTGAATCTAAGAATTTGTGTATGCTTACATGTATGTGTGCATGTGTACATGTATATGTATGCATTCATTATATATATATATATAGTATTACTTGAATGTATGCATATATTTGATATGTTTATATGCAAGACCAATTTTACCTCTAGCTAAGCTAAGAATTTAACAAAAAAACGTATTTTTAGATAATGCCCTACTATGCGATTCTCACAAACTCAAATATTTCTTTATAGGCTTCACATAAAAGTAAGGAGGCGGCGCTAATAGAAAAGGAGACTTAAGCAAAAGAGGAGACGACGGCATCAACTATGAAGGAACAATAGAGGAGGCCGTGGCGAGGGCTTTGACGTAAGCCATTGTAAAAGCGGGTAAGTATTATAAACAAAACTATTTTGTTTTATATTTAAAATGAAAGGCACAACTATAACAATCGTATTTGCTTACATACGTGGCCTTAAAAGTTTCAAATATTTCTTGAAAATGCGCTCTAAAAATCTCACTGCAACACAATTAATGCAAATTACACGTTAAGCACTATAAATAATATATAGTGCCAAATAATATTGTTAAATTGCAATGCAATTGGTCGCATAATTGAAGGCAAGTGGGGCAAATTGTGTTAGATGCAGCCCCGTGTCCGTGGTAATCGGCCATGTCTATTGTTCGGCTCGAATCGCGCCTGTATTATTAATGCAATTAGTATGTGATGCCCATGCTCGTTTCGCCCATATACGGCCCCGCCCCGTTTCGCTTACGTTTATCTAATCACATTGATTTTGCGTGTGCATTTATGCAGAAATTGTGCAAATCGGAAGCTTGTTTCGCAATTAATTATGAAAGCAGTTGCCGTCAACGTTGCACCGGGCGTATACGCAATCTGTGTTCAAGCATATATACATATATATATATATATATATATACATGTGTGTGTGTGTGTTTGTGCATATGCATGGCTGGATATAGGAATATGCGGTGGCTGCGGCTTTAATTCACTGACAACTGACAACAGCACTCACAACAGCTGCGGCTTTATTGCGGCTCAAGCCAGCGCAACGCCCGAATACAATAAACGCAATAATATCCATCTGTATCTGTATCTGGATTTATCTTAGCTGCTGCACTCGACAATGCTGCCACGCGCATTTCAAATGCTTGTTTGTTGTTTTTAGCCTGAAATCCATTATAATTGGTCATTATTTATTTACGTGTAGTAGCTTCCATGTGCGTCAGCAGGTTGCATTATGCCTAATGAGAGGCTTATCCTCGCCCACGCATGTAACGTGTGCCTCCAGCCAATATTGTCTCGATCCCAATTAGTTTGCCTCAAGACTTTTCTATTTTATTCTCCCTCTCTTGGCCCTACTCGAACTGTGCATCCAAGTGCGTGTGGCAGGCAGTAGGAAGCATCTTCTGCCTCTTCGCATGCACGCGCCGAGCTCGTTAACGATAAGAGCCAGCGAATAAAAGGCTTGTACACAAGTGCTCGGTAATGACGCACAGATTAAGTTGTCGATTGATTGACAAATTGATTTAAAAAAAAAAATAACCGTTTTAGGTAATTTTCAGGCGCTAGAGACGTACAGTTTTGAGCGTAGCCCGAAAAGATCAAGTGAAGAAATCTTGTTTTAGAGCCAAGTGGAACCAAAATCAGTGCTCAGATCAGGAATAGTTAACATTTCGAATAGTTCAATATGCAAAAACGAATTTTAAATGGTTAACTGAACGATTACTAACGCGTAGCCCAAGCTGAAAGAGCTGCGGTTCTGATCTTTTGGGTAAGAAATTGGGCACTACGACGGGATTTTGAAAAAGTCAACCCACAAATATGCATAAAAACAAGTTGTGCATGCCTTGAATCTGTGTGGCTGTTAGTTATCTGAGCGTCGGACCAGCTAGCGGCAAGTCGCTGGCTCAACTCGCGCAGCAATTGTAAACCTTCGGAGGCAAACACATTAACGCTTAATGTCAGTTTGCAATCCTGATGTCTTAAGGTCTAAGGGGTTCTGAGCATCAACGAAAGTAGCTGGTTCAACTCCCGCAACAATTGTTAATAAGTGTGAAATTCAGTAATGCATTGCATTTGTAAGATGATGCGGCCATGTCGGATAATTGCCCGCAATTATCTTTTATATTCAACAGCGGAAATGGGGTCAATGCTTGCGTTTAATTATTACCTTGTTAACCAAGACATTGATAGGGGTTGCGCATAAATGCGGGGTAAACATTTCATCGGCCTAATTAAAACGAAAGCGGGCAAAAGTTGGCCCAGAAGTTGCAAGTATATAGTATATATTACGCGTAAAGGCGGCCTGAGATGCTTCACTGCGCCACAGTTAATTATGGCTGGCCCCTAGCAGG